CCCCAAAACCCCAAAACCCCAAAACCCCTTGAATCATATTTAGAAAAAGATTTTAGATTTCTTTGAATTAAATTATTCATAAGAATGAAAGTATTCGTTAAATAATTAAAGTCTCTAATTAGAAATTATAAAGTTTAATGAGTTCGGAATCTGAAGTACAATACTATAAAATGAAAGATGGAAATGAGGATAGAAATGCGACCATAGATTCTGATAGGAATGATACTCGATAGTAGTGTCTAGATGATTTCGATAACTTAACCAGAGGACTAACCCTTGAGCAAGCCTATGCGAAGATAGGGGGTTTTACCTATTTTCACTACTGGGCCTCATCCCTGTTTGTATGGGGATTCACAACTGGAGGCCTCTTCTTTTTTGCTCTATCAATGCTAGAAAAGACTCCAAGATATTTGTGCTTTAATGATGATGGAACAACTTACGAGTGTCAAGCTGATAAGACATTTTGTAAAGATTAATCAATCAAGTACAAAATTGACTGGGATAACGACTCTAGTCTCCATAACTGGGTAGAAACCCTAGATCTCACTTGTGAAAGTTCTGCTAAAATCGGTCTGATTGGTTCCATATACTTTGTGGGTTGGGCAGTTGCAGCAATTTTCTTGCCTCGACTGAGTGTAATTTCTATATTTGTAATATGTAAACTATAGGATTTATTTGGAAGAAAGTGGGTTTACTTCTACTCAATGTTATTCCATGGTCTTGTGTACTTGGGATTAATTTTATCCCATAACTTGAACCTGACTATTGTCTTGATGGGATTCTTTGGATTCTGTTCCCTTGGACGAGCTTCAGTTGGTTATCTCTATATGCAAGAACTTACACCAATTAAATAGTAAACTATCATTGGCACAATACTCTCGATCACGGGTGGACTAGTCACAGTTTTTATAGCTCTCTATTTCTTGTATGTTTCTAAGCACTGGGAGGGATTTTAAATTTTTGGATGCGCAACAAATTTCTTAATCGTAGTTTCTATTCCGTTCTTGCCTGAGTCACCTAAGTATCTAATAAGTAAAAATCGCTATGAGGATGCTCGGGATTCATTGAAAGTTATCGCTTATTTTAATAGACACTCTGGAGAAGTGAACTTTAAATTTGATACAGAGGTCCACAATGAGCTCTTTAACTCCAAGATTGACTTAAATTACTCTGTTGATGCTTCTATTGCTAGTCCAGGAAAATTAACATAAGACTCTCATGAACGAGTTAAATTTGTTCAATCAAGCATATTATCAAGCAATGCTGGATGTAATCAATTGTAAGGCTAATCAGTCATTGATGACAAACTACAACCTCATATACATAAGGGTGAGTTAGTAAAAGAGGAATAGTAATTGAATGGGTCTTTAAAAGATCTGATTAAGATTAGAAGGCATATGATTAATTTACTCATTATGGTAATTATCTGGATCGCTTCCTCTTTCAGTTATTATCTGATTAATTTCCAGCTTAAGTATATAAAGGGTGACTTCTTTGTCAATACAATTACAGCATCCCTGACTGAAGTGCCTGCTTATATTCTTAGTGGTATTTTGTATGAAAAGCTAGGTATAAGAATAGTACTTGTATCTTGCTTTATAATATCACTTGTTGGAGGTATTTTCCTTCTTATATTCTCTAATAATACCAATGTCATTCCGGTATTCATACTTCTTGCTAGATTTGGAGTGAGTGCTACGTTTAATATTTGCTATCTCGCTAATGCCACTATATTTCCTACTATTTTCGCTGGAACTGCTTTTGGAATTTGCAATGTATTTGCTAAAATGGCTACAATTATCTCACCAATGCTAGCTGAGGTAGATGCACCTGTGCCAATGACAGTATTTTGTATCGTTTCCGGAGTAGCAACAGTTTTATCGTTATTCATTCAAACTGCACCAAAGAAATTATAAATACATTAAAGATTATATAAAGGAAAAATAACAGTGAATTAAAAGATTGTAAAACAGAAGATTGAATGCCATTCAAACTGCTCTTGAAGACAAATAATTAATAAATAGAATCTCTAAAAACAGAATTAATTTTACTGTTATTAATTTTTATTTTAAATACTCAATGTAACTAGATTTATGCGATTGTATGCTGTTGGGGTTTTGGGGTTTTGGGGTTTTGGGG